ACACATACCAGTATGTGAAACCTGTCAGGGACTTTGTCCCTTCGATTTGATACGGAGTTAGAAGCTGAAGATTCACGGGGAGATGAGAGACGCGTATGCATCGACGATGCGCCGGCTTCCGGGAGAGCGACACTAGAGCTTAGCTGTGACCGGTATCGCCCACCGTCGTTGACAATGGGCTTTAAGCTGCGATCGGCGTCGCTTTGTGTTGCTGATGCTCCTACTTCGGGTGTGGTGCAGCTTGCAAGATCTTCATCCTTCCTTGGTTTTTTTCGCTTGTACAGATTATGAGGGTTAATAAGTTCAGTTTGGTGTGTGTAGTGGGTATTTGGTTTTCGTTTCTTTGCCTGTGAGCTAGTCAGGGTTCATTCCTTCGTTGACTGTTTAGATATTTTTTGGGTGGAATTCTGTTGGTCTTTTTGAGTGTTTACGGTTGGAGGTGTAGATTTCTTGTCGGGTTTTCCTTTTAATGGTTTGAGTTGGTTTGTGTTTTAGTGTTCGGGTTGGCAGTTTTCATTTTATTTTTATTTCAATTTGGTAAAGAATTTCGATGTGACCCTGAGCCAAACGTTGTTCAGTTTATTTTTCTGCATAACACAATTTCCTTTCAAAATTTTCGGATTTTTCCTTTTTTTTTTCCTGAACCCTTGTATGGTCCTAGCATGGCTGGGCAGCCCAGGCAAACGAGGTGACCCGGGCGGCCAATAATTTTTTCCTTTTGGTTTTGCCTGACATGACGACTTTCAGGTGGGTACATCAAAACTTCAAAAGCATAGCTCGCTTTCTTACGACGTTTGATTGCGTATATAATTACATAGGCCAGGGCTCATACTGGTACCAGCAGGCCTGGCCCTGCACCATACTGGTTTTAATGTCAGGCCACACTCAGGCTCTGTGGTTCTGTATACAAAGGGTTAGCGGCCCTGGTAAGGGGGGCCCAGAATCTGCAGTCTCCCCACTTTGGCTATTTTTAAACCACAAGTACCTGGCCCATACAACGGCCGCGGGTCCCTCACCTCGATTTTTGGATGCCATAAACGCAACAAAGGCCATCGATGAGAGTTATCAAGGGCTGCTCAGCGCCGAAAGTCACGGCACGTTAACATGAGGGGCCCACAGTCGATGTATGGGCCAGGTACTGGTGGTTTACGAATAGCCAAAGTCGTGAAACTGCAGATTCTGAGGCCCCCTTACCAGGGCCGCTAACCCTCTGTACATAGAACCTGAGCGTTGCCTGACATTAATGCCAGTATGGTGCAGGGCCAGGCCTGCTGGTACCAGTATGAGCCCTGGCCTACACAATCATACGTCGTACAAAGCAATCTACGATTTCGATGTACCCAGTAAGCCCACTTGCCAGGAATCAGATTGATTTGTTCAGGTGGGAAAAAGAAAATAGGTTAGGGTGCACCGTACTGGTCCCCAGGGGGTCTTAGGCCCCCTCCGGGGAGGCTCTGATGCAAATCCATTTGGACCCGCATGGCGCACCGATTCGGCCACCGTGTTAACGGCCTAAGAGCGCGGAGGTACTGGTGGGTTTAGCCACAACAATATATGAGAGTCTCCCAGGACACTGTGTGCCGCCTACCACAACAATTGAAGAGATACGGGCAAAATAGATTATTCATATCGACTGCCTGTACCTTTCGCCCGATCTGGAGTTGGGCTGGCGCCTGCGGATCAGAGAGACCACAGTTTCTTTTTGAGGCCCAAGATCCAAAGGCACCACACAGGGTGCAGTCCCACTACCAGAGAGGATTGGATTGAACGCCCTGAATCTGCACATGTTTGTGCAGTGCTGCAGAAACTCGCGACGGATCTGCTTTTTTCTGCATCTCTGCATAAAACAGATCCAGATTCAGGTGCTTAATCCAATCCTCTTTGCTAGTGGGAATGTGGCACTGATTGCGCCAATGATCCACTCTACCGGTGGGCAGCTCATCTGCGAGAAAAGTGTGATGGCTGGAGGGAGACAACAAAGCTATGTTCGCAGGCGTCCCCTGTATAAGCCTTATGAGTAGTGGTAGGTAGGTAGTCAAAGTGAATTGAAAGAATTTGAAAGATTATGAAAAATCTGAGAGAAGAATGTAGCGTAGTTTAAAAAAAAAAAAAAAAAAAAAAAAAAACCTGAAAAAATCAGGTGAGTTCCCTTGCAGCTGCAGGCCCGACACACCAGCATGCATGACGCCTTTCACCAAATTTCTCCAAAATTTTCTCAAAAATAAAAATAAAAATGATTTTGAAAAAATCTGCAAAATGGCTGGGAAACTTACTTGGCCACCCATTGTTTCAAAGCCTCCTTTTCCTGATGCAAAAATTTTCCTGACCCTAACAAATCCAGACTGTTTTCTTTTTTGCACACCCTCCTTATGAGGCCCTGCGAACCCTCCTCTCACCAGTTCCACCCCGTGCACCCCCTCCCCCAGTCCCACCTCGGCATCTACCACTGAGGATCATCACCCTTCTACCATCTTGGCAAGGTGACCTGACCCGAATTGTCGGTGCACGTGATTTGCCTGGGACAGCCAGCCTTTCTGTGAATAAAACTCCCAGCCTTCCCATGGTCCCATGTTTAACTGGCAGGTGCTTTTTCAAAGGCTGGACCGACAACTGGTGGCTCGACATCGTTTCACGTGTTGTGGTGGTTTTTTTTTATTTACGGCATACGCACAAGAGGACGACTTCCATACTGCATCGGTGTGGACTATCAATGAGGGGCACCGAGGGGCCAAGTCCAACTACCCGCTAGATCGAGACATGAGGACGACATCTGCGGAATCAATCTGGAATTATATCAATTGGGTATGTCCAAGGGCATGGTCCCACTAGCAAAGAGGATTGGATTAACCGCCCGAATCTGGATGCGTTTCTGCAGAGAGGCAAAAAAGCAGATCAATTGTGATTTTCTGCACTTGCACAAACATTTCCAGATTCAGATGTCACATCCAATTGTCTTTGCTGGCGGGACCACGCACCAGGGGGCAAAGCCCCACTACCACCTAGACCCCCTGGAGACATCCAGAGATCCCCTCGTGCCTGAGGGATACATCCAGGGGGCAAGTCCCACCATCCAGGGGGCAAGTCCCACCACCAGCTCGATCAAGCAGTTTTCGGGCTCATGGAGACCGCAATTTTTTCACGGACACCCAACTCTCCCATCCTGCCACAGCCTTCTCTTGCAGCTGCAGGTCTTCGCCCCTTGCCTCCTCCTGGCCTTGCTGTCGTTTTTCTTCAACAGATTTGCACCACTATTTCCTTGTGCTCTGGTGGTTTATTTCCGGCACGCTCGAGCGTAAAGACCTCTGCTACCAAATCTATCCAGAATACCAGTCTACCATCCAGGGGGGAAGGCCCATCAAAAGCTAAATGGAGTAGTTTTGGAGTGTTTTTCGACGCGACCCGATCGGGAGGGGGCAAGGCCCGTTACAAGCTAAATGGAGTAGTTTAGGAGCATTTTTCGACGTGGCCACATACGACAGATTTTCAGATTGAACGACAGGGTGACACGCATGCACAAAAACTACTCGCTTTAGCTTCTGCCGTCTTACCCCGAACAAATACCTCTTCACGCCACTGTATCCGACCGGCCAGATAGGTTTTATAAACTTTTATTCATTGGAGATCAGCATGTGTGTTTGAGGGAAAACCATAGGGGGAATTGGCCCCTGGGGCAAGGTCCCACCAGCAAGGAGGTTTTCTGGACATGTTTTAAACAGAGATGCAGAAAACCATATCGATTGCAGTTTTCTGCACCTCTCCACAAACATCTCCACATTCAGGCATTAAATCCAATCCTCTTTGCTAGTGGGACCACGCCCAGAGAAACTTGTAGTGGAGCCCATCTACTGCAATCATGGTCTCTTTTTCTTTCCTTTCTATTTTATCTTTCTTGAAGTTTCTTCCCTTTTTCTTCCCTTTTTCTTTCCTTTCTCTTTTATCTTTCTTCCCTTTTCCTCTCCTTTTCCTTTCTTTTTCTTCCTTTTTCATTTCCTTTTATCCAGAAAAACTAGGCTAACCCGCCGGGGCGCCCGAGTCACCCTGTTTGCCTGGGCAGTCCGGCCATGAAGGGGCCAAAGAAGGTCCCAGCACAGAAAAAAAAAGAAAAAAAAAAAACTATGTTATGCAGAAAAATAAACTGAACAACATTTGCCTCAGAGTCACATCGAAATTCGTTAACAACTTTTGATTTATTTATTTTTTTCCGTCTCCAACCCGGCTGGGCAAGTGGTCCAGGGGCACGGTCCCACTAGCACCCGGATTAGCCTTAGCTATATCCGGGGCACATGTGTCTTCTGTAAAACATTGTAGTCCGATCGGTAAGGGCCGCACGTTCGACGTAGATCTGACGGAGCTGGCTTTTTCTTCAACTGTTTGGTTCGTTTCACTTTTTCCATTGCTTCCAAATGAAAATGGGCCGCCCTCCCATTGGCCATGCATTGAAAAGAGAAAAGAAAACGCATGCGAGGGGTGTCTTCTCTCTAGAGCACACTAGTTTTGGGTAGAGGGCGGTCATTGTTCCCTGAAAAATAATTCAGAAAAGTGGATTAAAAATAAGGAAATTGGAAAATAATGTGACCTCTCCTCCTCCCCTCTTCCCGCCCACCTAACTGCTTAGGGCCTCGTTAGACACTCCTCGGCGCGTCCTCGGGCTCCGAGGGGAAATCCTCGGGGCAGCCCGAGGAATTTCCCGCTTTCGTTCCACTGCTCCCTCGGGACGACGCCCGAGGATGCTCCGAGGACTGGCCGTGGGGAGACGTATAATTCCATACGCGGCCGCGGGACGAAAGTTTGGGCGGTGGTCCATCGTCCGGTGTCCGTGCGAGCGGCCTTGGTCCACCGCGTTCGGTCTTCGAATTCGAAAAGGGACTGCCGCCGCCTCAATGAGGAAAAAAATCCGCTCGCGCGCGTGCACTTTCAAAATTCAAATTTTGAATCGGCCGACCATGCCGTGCGGTGTGGTTCCGCGGGGACATGCGGGTACCTTGGGGCGACCCCATGGGGGACTCTGGGGGGTTTTGCAGTGGGCGTCATGCGAGGGAGCCCCTAGCCGTTGTGGCGTCATCGCAATGTTCCACACGTATTTGAAGAGATGCCTCTCCGTGGCCCTCCGTCGACTGTGGTGAGCGTCTCGTTCCGCCTTGCTCGTTCGTCTTCTCACACCGCTGCACGGCCGCCATCTCCGCCAACTTGCTCGTGGGCAGTGTCCATTGCTGGGGGTGTCCGGTCGAGTGTTGGGCGAGCTCACTCCGCGAGGATGAGTGCGATGTCTAAGGTGGTCCATGTGCGTGGAGTGGGTGATGGGGATGACGTCGAGGCCGGGTTGTCCGCTGTGGAGAGGGCTGTTGTGACGTCTGTCGTAGCCGCCGTCATCATGCATTGCGACATGGAGGTCGAAGGTCAACGGCGGTGGGCACGACTACGTGCCCGGAGAAGGAAGTTGATGCCAGCGGCGACGACTGAAACGTTGGATAGCGCTGCCATCTGTGATGCCGTGTTGGAGGTGTGCTGTGCACTGGGACGTGGGGGACTATCGAGGGCGACGCCGAGGTGGTGGGTAAAAAGGAAGACGGGGGGGACTTGGGAGGATCTTCGGCCTGCGGACGACGCCACTGACGATTACTTCCGCAACAAGTTACGGATGTCTCCACGTGTCTTCTGCGAGATCGTTGAGAACTTGTCGCCGATTCTCCAGCGACGTGTGACGTTCTATAGGGAACCGTTGCAACCAGACCAGATTGTCGCGTACGCGCTGTACAGGTGGGCGTCGGGCAAGACATACGAGAACAGCAGCTGCAGCTTTGGGATTGGCAGGGCTTCAGGTTTGGTGGCCGTCCGGGACGTTACTGTTGCGCTACTTTCGGTGTACAGGGAGAAGGTGGCGTGGCCAACTGGGGTGCGGAAGGCGATCGTTCTGCGTGCTTTTGCAGACAAGGGTTTCCCGAACCGCCATGGGTGCATCGACTGCACCCATATCTACGTGGACAAGCCGGCGAATGCACCTGCAGAAGACTACTACGACCGCAAGAGACGCTTCTCTGTCGTTGCTCAAGTGGTGGTCGACTTGGACTTGCGCATCCTGAACGTGTTTGTGGGATATCCGGGGAGCTGCCACGACGTCCGGATCATCCATCTCTCCACTCTATGGTCGCGGGCGGCGGCGGGAGAGTTGTTTACAGGGCCTCCTGTGCTGCTACCATTCCAAGTGCACACGAATGGTTATTTGCTGTCCAACAATGGTTACCCATCGAGCCAATGGATGGTTGTCCCGTTTGGCGGCATGGCGCAACATCCCCTGGAGAGTCGTTTCGACAGCAAGCAGAAGACCGCGAGGGGGGCAGTGGGGAGGGCATTCGGGAGACTGAAAGGAATGTGGAGCTTGTTCCTAGGCTCTCACAAGACCAACATGGAGACCTTGCCCCAGCAGTTCGTGGCCGTCTGCATCTTGCACAACATCCTAATCGACGTCGGCATCCCTTTCGACGAGAACTTGTTGTGGGAGGTTGACGCCAATGGAGTTCGCCATCGGGTGGATCTTGGGATCCATCGCCCCCCCGGGCCGTTGTGCATGGAAACTTCTACGGGGGAGGCGATCATGCTGCGGCAGGCGCTAGCGGAGCGAATGATGCGGCGATGATGGCAGAAGGACCTCGCGAGGCGGCGGGAGCTGCGGGCCGTGTATGATGGAGGAAAGTGTGACGACGGCGGTGGGAGGAAGCAGTGTGCGGAGAGACGACAGGGGGGAGGCAATCCTCCTCCTCCGCGCCGTCGTGAAGGAGGGAAGTGAACGACTGCCCGTACTTCGTCCCGCGGCGATCATACAACTGGCTACCCGTCCACTCCTGGGTAGACCCGCTACCCAGCGGAACTGTCGTCGACACGTCCACCTCCGCCTCCCCCTCGTCCGAATCGGGCAGCGGTTGCAAGTGAGGCGGCAGTTCTTCATACGGTGACGGACCTGCCGCCCTTCTATTTGCACCGGCACAGATCAGAGCCCGGTCGGTTGGATAAGGGTCGGACAACATCCTCTGAGTCGACCGCCTCCCGTCCATGGCAACGCTCTTCCTTGCCCCTACTTTCCTGCGACTACGTGAAGGCAACCTCCCCAATATGCACACGTGAACAAAGACGACAACGACAAGCAGAATCACGACGAGGAGGAGCAGCGGCAGCTTGCGGAACACGTCGGCCATGTAAGACAACCGCAGCGTAACGGCCAACCTGACGGTGACAAACAGCAGACGCCAAGTGATGGCTGATAACGCCCTCCGCTGGTTTACATTGCGGACCTCTGCTGTCGGCGACGGACGTACAGCCCGACGAATTTCGAAACGGCCGCCCGTTGGAGGCCTGTCCGTTTCCCGCCGGCACGCGTGAGCGGCCGGGTCACCTCGGGCCCTCCACGGACCCCGTCCGCCACTCTTCGTTACCGTTGCCGCTGTCCCCACCGAAGTCGAACGTTGTCGGCCGGTAATGTCCGCCCACACCTTGACTGGACCACCGTTGTACCACACTACAAAACTGTGCCGTCGTCGAAGGCTGCCGCCGCCGTCCCGATTTTCGCAGAAACTCCAACTCCGAGGGACCTCGCGAGGTGCCTTGGGGAGCGCAGCCAAATGGCTGTGGCCCGAGGACGCCCCGAGGACACCCCGAGGAATGCTTTCACATCGGTTTCCAAGGAACTCTCTCCGAGGACAGATGGAACGATCATTTCCTCGGGATTTTTTAGCGCCCGAGGAGTGTCTAACGAGCCCCTTAGCTCCACCAAATCGGTGAGCTCGCCTTGTGATTGTCGTCAGATACATCCAAGTCGGGCCGTACTTCAGGTCCGATGCATTCAGGGTGAGCACGCCCCTCCCCCTCCCTCCCGCCCACTGTTCTGCTCAGCTCAACCCATATTCCAGTCCCCCTCACTCGGGACGTGATTGCGGTCATATGCATACAGGTCCGGCCGTATTTCAGGTTGTGTGAGTGTCTCCGCGCCCGTGTCGCCAAGAAACTTGTGCAGCCCAAACGTCGTGCCTGTGCAGTCCTATATTTTGTTGTCGAAAGTCCCAAGATGGAAGAAAAGAAAAGTCCCTGATTTGTTTTTGTTTTTTTTTGTATTTCTAACTATTCCTTGAAGTCTCTTTAATACGGAAAACACAAGTCCTGCGGATATAGCTAAGGCTAATCCGGGTGCTAGTGGGACCGTGCCCCAGGGCCACTCTGGTAGCCTAGCAGAAAAAATGGAATTCACACATTATAGCAAGCAAGCTTGCAGTTCTCAATTCCGGTTGCAGCCATCAGAAACTCGCAAGAAAGTAGATTCAGAATATAATAATATATAACAAATAACTTGAAATAAGTGTTTAAAATGAAAATTATATAATCTAACGAGTCACAAGCTTCCGACTCCTCAGTATAGATAATTGACCACCAACAACTGCGGGCAGAGAAAAAAGGCCTGAAAAGGAAAACGGGTTGCCGATGAAATTTTCAACACCAGCCTGATCCCGCTTGGCTTCCACGTAACCCGGCGCGGAATTGATTTTCAAGCGGGGAAAGGTACTGGTGGTTTAAATAAATTGGATGCTTGACTTTCTTTAGGGAACATAAAAATGAAACCTATCGGCACCCCTAGCATTACCTTGGGTTGCTTTCTAAAAAGAAAAAGGAAGAAGAAGAAGAAGAAGAAGAAGAAGAAACCCTTATATAGGTCCTCCACAGTCACACCTGCCTAACCATATCCGCTACACTATCCAAGATAAAGTGATTGCATGGAGGAGGGGAAAAAGTGATTACATGGATTAAGCAAAAATGATAATAACTAGCCGTTGATCTTTGGTTCTCTTTTGTCGACGAAGACGGGGGGGCGCAGCACTACCGGAAGCGCTGCGCCCCGGCAACATCAACCATCAATCAAGAGCGAGGAGCCGCGCGCGCGGGAAAACTGCACGCAGCAAGGAAAATGGCGCGTGCGCGCTCGACGATTACGCGCGATTAGGTGCGCGCCCTGGGCTGAAAATTGGTCCACCGATGGGCTATGTCAAGGAGCTGAGGTGGTCCCAATTTCAGAGCAAATGGTCCAAGGGATGAGGAGATATCGAAGATCTAGCGCGCGCCATGAAATTCGAGTGTGTCGGGCGACGAGAACGACGGGGGCATGAGGTGGTGGTTGTACTACTTGTATCTTTACGGGCGTTACGGCTAGATGCAGGCACGGTGGACGCTCGTGGTACGATGCAGCTGTTCATCAGATGACGTGGGCATTCCGAATCTGCCTTCTTCCTCAACTATAGGTAAGTGTGTGGTAAGTTTACGGCTATGGTGGTTTGAACCTCCTGTGGTGACTTGTCAACGGGCTTGGCGAGGGGTGCCACACTGTTTTCGATTCCCTGACTCCTTATAGGGATCGAAGATGGCCGCTTATACCTTGGAGTTAGTGTTGCTTTGAGCCTTGGACTAGCAGCGGGAGGAAGTGAACTCTTCTTTCCCCAGAGGTGCAGGGGTAGGGTTTGAAGGGTGGGAGGTAAGTGGAAGGAAGGGGTTGAGGAAGAAGGGAGAAGGTTTTTTTCTTTTCTCAGTTTTCACTTCGTACAGGTTCAGCGTCGTCATAGTTGGGCCCTGTCATAATTCGATGATTACTCTTCGTGGATTACTTTAGTCTCGCGTTATATTCTGATGTTGTTCTATGGGATACGATTAGGGTATTTTCATCTATTCTTCCAATATTCTTGAAATATTCTCCTATTAAAGTCTCTAATGCTTCCAATATTCTTGAAATATTCTCCTATTAAAGTCTCTAAAAAACTTCTGATTCTTGGAATATTCTCCTATAAAAGCTTATAAAAATATTCTTGAAATATTCTTCTAGAAAAGTATCTAAAAAACTTCTGAGTCTACAACTCGAAATGATAAAAGCTTCAAAAAATTTCTGATGCTCGAAATATTTTCCTATAAAAGCTTCTAAGAAATTTCTAAAAAGATTCTTCAAATAAATTCTTATAGAAATTCTATAAAATTTCTGATCTCAAATAATTTTGATTTTGATCAAGGAAGGAGGGGGGAATTAAAAAGGGGAGAATGGGAGGAGGAAAGGTGGTCTTCAATCAGAGGATGGATGTCGGTGAAGGTGAGTAGGTCAGGAGGACGAGACTGGGATGACATGGGCCGGTGCTGGAGCTTGGCTCTATGACCCAGGGGCGAGCTTGAGGCCCGTGGAATTATGCCGAGGGTGGAAGGCATAACCAGATCGTCCAACACAAGCGGCACCGGGGTTCTGACCCTGTAACCTGTATAGGGGTTTGTCGCTTTGGGAATTGTCGAGGGAGGAAGGCCCTTCCTATCCGACAGAACTAGGTTGGTCGGTACTGGGGAAGGTTGCAGTGCCCTGTTACCTATGCAGAAGGGGGTATGAGACCAAGTGTGTTCTGGTTCGAGGACCGAAAGTCGAGACCAACGGCTCCTTTGTTGAGGGGGGGATTTAGGATGGTTGGTATTTAGTTTTGACCTCTCCCCCCTTTTTTTTTCTTTTTATAGATGGCTGTTTGGGGGTCTTAAAAATGCTTTTGGGCTCTCGGGATCCCTGGCAACTCGTCTTAGGTGGTTTTTGATGCTGTTATACTCAGGGACCTGTGGCTGCTCGATGCCAGAACGACGCTGGCCGGAGCTGGGGTGTTACCCTGTGACCTGCTGATGCAGGAGCACGAGGCCTGGTGGAGAGATCTGGGGATGCTTAGGGGTGGGCATCCTATGGAACAGCTAAGGGGTGCTGTTGGGACGACGCTGGTCGGAGCTAGGGTGAGTTGTGTCACCCAGTAACCTAGCAGGACGTGGGGTGTGAGACCTGGAAGAACTCGGCAGGGAGTAGGACAGTGTTGAAAGGCCTCAGAAGGGGCGTTCGGGATTCCAAGGGTTTCTGAGCATTTGTAGGACCCGCCAGGTCTTTTTCTATGTTGTCAATTACAAGTTTTTACTTAGTTAAATCCAGTTCTCAAAACAGGGGGTAGTCTGTTCTGTCTTTAAAACGTCTTCTGGATCCTGGGGTTTCCTGGCAATCTCTTCTAGGTAGTCTCAAGGCTGTAATACTCGGTGACTTAAGGCTGTTCGACGCCAGAACGACGCTGGCCGGTGCCGGGGTGTTGCCCTGTAACCTGTTGACGCAGGGGCATGAGGCCTGGTAGAGAGATCTGGGGGTGCTTTGGGGGGCATCCCACGGGACAACCAAGGGTTGCTGCTGAGACGACGCTGGCCGGAGCTGGGGTGAGTTGTGTTGCCCTGCAACCCAGCAGGATGGGGGGTGTGAGGCCTGGAAGCTCGGCAGGGAATACGACAGTGTTGGAGATCCTTGGAAGGTTTTGTTAGGGATTTTGCGGGATTGGGTGCTTTTTTAGGACTTTTGCAGTCTATTCCCCTACCTTTTTCTGAGCAATGGGAAGGAAAGGGATCGAGAGAGAAAGGTATCACGCGTCCTGCTAGTGAAGGGGCTAGCTGGTAGGACAGAAATAGGGCATAGCAGCAGTAGAGATGGTGGCTTTGCTGCAGTAAGTCTTGCTGGAGTGGGGTGAGGAGGACTGTTGGTGGATTCCCGAGTCTTCTTCTGGTTTTTTATTATCTCTGAAATTCCTTACAAAAAAGCTCTGAAGTAGCTCTAAATTCCTTCAATTGGACTTTCTCAGAACATCCTTAGT